ATTACTTGCTTAATTATTTCCTTTGAAATTTATTGATTTTTTGCTCTAGGAATTTCGCTTCGTTCGGTTTCTATTTGTTTTTGTCTTGAAATGAAATTCAACTCGACTTAACTCGCCGAGCAGTGAAACGAAATGTAATGAGAAGGCAAGGCACAATGCCCGGCATCTGATGTTTGAGCTTCAGTTTGTCTGCATGGTGTCTTAAAGTTGTCCGTTCAAAATTTAAAGAATGTGCTGATAAAATAAATATTTGTTTAAATATACAATCACTCCGTTCACTGGCTGTCCAGTGTCCAGTAAATTATGCGATTGTAGAAGGAGGGGAAGTCACAACTCAGTTTGTTTAAAAATTACAATATGTATTTATTTGCAGAAGTTAAATGCAAATATGTTGCAGGGGAGTTCCCTACTCAGTTTAATTATAGATTAACAAAAAAACAAATGTATTTATTTGCAGAAGTTAAGTGCAAATATGTTGCAATTATATTACCAGGCACCCAAAACCATAGCCGATTGATATCCTTTGCCTGGGAGGAACTAAATCGCCACAACCGACCGCCTCTGTAGTCACACATACCCTACTTCGACGCAGGATACATGTGTGTCCTTGTGACCTGATACTTCTCGTAATACCCGTGCATCTAGTCCTTAAGTCTATGGCAACATTTTAATATGTTATAGAAGCATTGCTTTATTTAATAAGCCACAGCTTATAACTTTATGATTTATTTAATATTGCCTTTTAATTTGTTTAAAACAATATTAGAAAAATTGCATGCATTTATATATTATATGTATTTTATAAAGCAAATAAATTGCTTCTTCAACATTATTGTTATTATTTAAGTAACCGAATCAATAGAATCAATCATGCATATTTTATTTGAAAATTGAAATCCAAGCCATTGTATTTTCTCAAAAATAAGTGAAAGAATGCCAGTTTTATCTAAAAAACTTAAGGAATTAACATAAGTACCAATGCGATAGTTACGAATTAAGTTCAAATAATAAAATAAAAAATAAAAAATATATAATTGGAGAAATGCAGAGAAAAAAATTGAGTTTCTAATAAATTAATGAATAGTTAAAAGAAATAAAATAATTGGAAGAGTGCAGAGTAAAAAATTAAGTATCTAATAAATTATTGAAAGCTCGTTTGCAAACGAATATTTCAAACAATTATTTAAATAACTAAAATAAAATGGTTTATTGTACAAGTATAAGCAACACTTAATAAATAATTCAGAAATAAAATGACAGAATTATTTTAAAAGACTACCTCATGAATTTCTGTTTACACTAAATTGTTGATTTAAATTATTGATAAGCGGCTTAAATCAAAATGTAAGTATACTGCACTAAGCCGATTTGATAGGCTGGAAATAATTGTAATTTTTTGTAAAACCTGGCACAACAATATAAGCATTATTTGGAAATGCGATTAGGAAATATTAATTTACTCGAAATAATTGTAATTTTTTGTAAAACCTGGCACAACAATATAAGCATTATTTGGAAATGCGATTAAGAAATATTAATTTACACGAAATAATTGTAATTTTTGTAAAACCTGACACAACAATATAATCATTATCAGGAACAGAACAGAACATGTGCTTCATTTTTCAATATCAAGCAATGATGAATGCTTTATCAGGAACAACACATATGCAGAATTATTATAATTATTTTAATATCAAGCAATGATCATTGCGTCTTACTTCATCCGGCTGCTGTCGTTTCCAGTCCCTTCACTTAGCACTTTATGGCAAAGCTTCTGGAAGCTAAGACCCCTAAAATGTGCAAGTTATTCGGGCTCTCAGACCCGGACACCGAAATCCAAGCATATGTGGTTGTCTGCATAACGAGCATAAACTCTGCCAGCGAAAATGGCAGCAGTGGCAAGAAAGAAATTGATGTTGCCAGCGTGCAGAGACACAACAGCTAAAGCAACAACAACAACCATAGCTAAAGCAACAGCAACAGCAACAACAGTTGCAACAACGCGCTGGAACGGCAAGTTTGGGAACGGAACGCCCTTTCATATTAGCTGCAAGCTGCCACACATGCTGCAACAGCCAAGTTACTTAAGTGATTTCAATTTATAAAAATTTTTACTGCTCAGATACATGTGATAGATACACATAAAGTGGCCTGCTTAGTGGCATGTCAGAAATGGGCGAGCCCTGCAGCAGTGGGCGTTGTTGTAGCTGCCGTTGATATTCCTTTTCTATACCCTGCACCCTCCACAATTTGAGTGTATATTTGTTTTGTGGTTATGAACGGAAAATATGAAAGAAAATCGTTGATAACCTAATGATCTCTCTTCGCGATCTGAAAATCTTTTTACATTCGCAACATCGAACTTTTTATATTTATTTATGTAAATAATTATCAAATGCTTAGCTTGCAAAAACAAAAACTTATAAACTAAATGCAATCCTGCTTTTAATAGTTTTCGCCCGTTTTATAACTAAAACTATTGCAACTAAAAATAAGAAAAAATTCTAAAAATTCTAGCGATTGTTAACAAACTAAATTTCAAATAAATAAAACAAAATTTAATGTTTCTCTATATTTGAAAACTTTTTTATAATTATTTTTAAAGTCAAACTATAAATAAACTTAATTTTTTTTTAAATTATTTTAACCTTTTCAGGTAAGAACCTATATTTTAACTTATATAGTAACTAATTTAAACAGTGTATATCTAAGATATTAGATAATATAACCTTGGCAAATAAATAAAAAGCGAGCAGAAAACAATAGAATGACTGCGCATGAAAATATTATTCAGAGTCTTACCTCGTTTGGCCAATACCTGTCGAGCAGTTCATTAATTATACTTTTTTTTTGGAAGAGTGCATTGCAGAGTCGGTTCGCATTTGGTTTTGGGAAGTGCATTGCCATTGGCATCATCAAGGTACGCAAGGCAGTAAGACAACTAGTCAGCTAGTCAGCTAGTCCCGAGTCACTTAACGTGGCTACTGGCGTCATGGCAGCTGGTGTCAGGCTGACTCACGGCCACGTAAACGTAACGTATCGAACGTTAACGTATTTATGGCTGCACTTGCCTTTTGTTGTTGCTGTTGAGTTTTAAAGTCGTCTTAAATGTTGTCGCGAAGCCAACTGAGGCGACTCGAGTGTACAGCTAACAAGGCGCAAAACATTTTTAACATTTTTTAACATTTCCGCTTTTTTGCATTCAATTTAATTTAACACAAACATTTACACACACTTGCACTTGTACGTGTGAGTGTGTGTGTGTGTGTGTGTGTGTGTGTGTGTACCTGTATTTATAATGGCGCACACACGCATCGTCAACAGCGTCGTTGCCATTGCTGTTGTTGCTGTTGTTGTGCATTGTGCATGAGTTTCATGCTTGAAATGCGCATACGCTGCGTATACGTAATATAAATTTGTAACGGCAGCATGCAAATGCAACGGGAAAGTAGGGGTGGACGAACAAAAAAAATAAAAAACGTACCACTATAAATTTGTGTACACTTACAACTCGATGCTCGTGCAACAACTAGCAGCAGCAACAACAACAACAGCAGCAGCAACAACTTAAATCTTAAGTAGCTCAACTTGTTTATTCATCGAAGCAGAAGTTGAATGTGGGTGTGTGGGTGTATGGGTGTATAGCTGTACATATAGGTGTGTGGGTGACGGGAGGGGCAGCTGCCAAGTATTGCAACTTGTGGTGCAGCAAAAAAAATAAACAATAACAAAAAAACAACTGCAGCAATGCGTCGCCACGTTCTCGCACAGTCATGCATGAAATGATAATTACAGCAGGTGCCATCTAGCGTGCAATAACGACATAAAAATAATAAATTTCTGCATTTCTGTTGAGGTCCGGCAGCCTTGCTTTAATTCATGCGATTTGTTAAGAACTAGAAACTGATTTGAAACACTTTCAAATTTTTAGAACCCTCCATTTATAGATATATCTATAATTAGCTTGGATTTTGATGTCCGTTCGTCCGATTTAATGGCTTCAGCTATAAAGCTTTGAAACTTTGTTTCAAACTAGCCTTTATATCATATACTTAGCTACTTTTGGAAATAATATTCTTCACAAAGAGTATAAAAAACTCTTGGTTAATGAATTTATAGAAACAAAATTATAACTAATAGTGTTTCATCTCTTGGGGATCTCAAATGGATGACCAATTGCCAAATCTTTCTTTCTTTTATTTCGACACGAGTGCTTTCTAATTAAATACTCCAATATTTTACATGTTTTCCAAATAAATGCATATTTGTTCAGTTTTTGCAGAATTTTTAGAATATTCATATTAATTAATAAATAATTGCATTCAGTACATATTATTATATATACATAGTATTATTTAAATATATAATGGATCTCAAGTAGAAATGGTTTAATTTTGAATCGAACAAAAGACTATAAATGTTGTGTCTAACAAATTAAGTCTTTTTCAATGATTTTTTTTGGGAAGAAAAATATTATGTAGGAACTGCCTTCAATAAAAAAGTATTTTTATATTTTATATTATTTACCTTAAAAAACTGACAAAGTTAATGAAAAATAAGACACATGAGCGCTTGTCGTAAATATTAATGACCTTACTTTCATTTATTTATATTTTTTATTTCTATTTTGTAGTAAAATGCATGCATTTATATTAAGTAGCAGATTCGGTTTTATATTTAGTAGCAGATTCGGTTTTATATTTAGTAGTAAAATCTGTCGTTTCTCTTTAGTAGTAGATCAAAAGCATACTAGCGCCATCTATGGTCGTTACAAGGTAACATTAAATTGCATTAAATTGAAAGTAACAGAAAAATTATTTTAAGCAAATTGATCGCAAAAATCAAAAAACTAACAAAGTGCAATTTTGGAATAAACTGATTTTTTCTTGTCTTGGATGCCAGTTGCGTTGGCTTTGGAATTTCTTTTGAATTTCTATTGTTTTTTTCTATTTATATTTTTTTTTTTTTGTGCTCCCACATTTAGATTCGGCGCTATGTATTGTGCAGTATATATATTTTCAGAGAGGACTTGAGTTTATAACCTTCGGGCTAGGAGGTGATTTTAATGAATTTCCAAATAAATAACTTATTTGAAAATTATAAATGTTATTCCAGTTTAGTAATCTTGAACGCTAGGTACCTCCTTATACGATACATTCCAAATTGCAGAGTCGAGCATACAACAAAAAGCATGGATATCAGCGTGGTAGAGAGTAACGCCAGTCGTGGCCTTTCCCAATCCATAATGTTGTATAGATAGTGACGACCTCGTCTATGAAATAAATCGGCAGTTGAAGAAGGCACTAATTTATATTTCTCAACTATATTACTCACGGATCCAAGCCGCCGGATATATAATAGATATAGGTGAAGCTAGCATAGGCGAGCGCTAAGCTTAGTGGATAGATGAAGTGCATTAGGCGGGCAGGAAACGCAACCAGCATAAGATCCAAGCCAAAGATAAGGGACGGCAAGGCATGGGTCCACAAATTATAGGCGTTATCGACACGCGTTATATTCGCGAGCGAGCGATCTCGGGGATAAATGCAGGACCAGTAGACCAAACCGACGACGTTCGCTACCACCAAGTTCGTCCAGTAGGAGGCCCAGTAAATTTTCAGTAGCCCTGTGCGGGTGACTATGCGAAAAGGTTAATAATAAATTGGATATTTGTATTTAGAATAGAATAAATAATACGAAGTGTGTCCACAACTATGAAACAAAGTATTTCTATTCGCTTCTAATTGTGTTTAATTCAAAATTAATTCATTTTTTTAACGAATCCTTTAATTGAAAATACATTGCCTTAAAAATAATATTATAAAAGCGCAGTCGAGCTTGAGCCATCTAGAAACATTGCTAGAAAATCCGCTATAAACAGCAAGAAAGTCTACTAAAAAAGGCTAAAAAACTCTCTGTAAATGGTTAAAAAATCAGCTATGAATGGGAAGAATATGCTGGAAATGCGATATAATAGATATATAAATATATAAATATAGATATAAATGATATATAAATAGATAAAAACTGAATAGAAATATATAGAAGAATTGCTAGAAAATGGCTAGAAAATGTACTAAAAATTGATAGAAACCCGCTATAAATAGTTATAAGAACCCGTTCAAAAATTTATAGAAATCCCGCGGTCATCAATAGTTGCCGATCTAGCTTTCAAGAGCCCAAGTTCTATTACTTTCGTAATAGAAAACATTGCCGATTCCAGCATTCCAAACCCTCCCTTATCTAAAAAAGTTCACTTCAAAAGCAAAATACAAATATTGGCAAGCTGAATTGGAAAACTTCCTTGGAATTGTGTATGAAGGAGGGAGATTAAACTGAGAAAACATTTCTATCGAGTTGTTTTGCAAAGCAGATCAAAAATATATAAATTCTATGCGATTCGAGATTCTTTCTTCGCAAGCAGGGTCAGCTTGGTGGCTCACCCAGTTTTTCAGGACTCCTTTGAAAGAGTGAGACAATCACCGCACCGAAAGCGCTGGTAAAGCCGCACAATAAAAACGCCCAATTGGTTAGATAGAGAAACCAGCGGCCCCTCCAGAAATACTTCGCGATGCATGTGACAACGCCCGTATTGAAGAAGAGGGCCAGCAGCCAGCGATAGATGAGGTACCAGCGGCACTTGTCCTCTCGTTGCCACTGTTTGTAAAAGAAGCGGTTAATCTGCTTGCCTGGTGTATTAATTCTGGACGTACTTGCGAACGTGCAAAGTCCTTTGGATTGCTGTGCTGCAAGCCACAGTTCTGCCAACGAAACTCCTGCCAGAAACTTTGAACCTGTACCGCTGTTCCCCGATTTGGTTCCACAGAGCCACCGCCACCGCCACCGCCGCCGCTCATTTAATCAAAATTTAGCCAACTTTTACAATTTAGTGAATTTCGTTTTTTTTTTTTTTTACACAGCCCAAAATTTTGATAATTAAAAAGGTCCAAATGAGTGAATAGGCTGTGCGTGTGTGTGTGTGTGTGAGGTGAGAAAATGAGCAAAATTAAAATTAAATGCTTAAATTTTGTGCCGCTTTTAAGTGGCATGCCCCTTTTTCATGCCACGTTTCGTTGAGTTTCTTATCTTGCTCTGCATGCCGTCTGCGTTGCATAATTAACAGTTACATGTGTGCTCTGTGTGTGTGTGTGGAAGTGTGTGTGTGTGAACATATGAGTGTGTGGCAGAGCCCCGTGGGCCTGACGCTGCTCTGCGGCAAATTACGACATGCGCCTGACATAATTTTCACTACCGAGCCGAAGCCAGACCTCGTCCTCGTCCTCATCCCCAACTCTGAGGGGATGGGCTGGCGTCGTTCGCCGAAGCAACATTTAAGCCAGCAGACACATTTAATTGAGAGACACTCGGCTGAGTTGTAGCGTGCAATTAAAATGCCATTACATAGAAAAACAAAGCGAGCGTAGCCAGCGCTGGAAAAGTCCCAACCCAACCCGACCGACCCAGAATATATCTCTGCGAGTACACGTATAATCGCTGAGTTGGTGAATTCTGTTGCATGATTTGATGAACAAATTGTTTGGCTGCTTGCTGATATGAAAATTTAATAAAGCCGGTAAATGAAATAGCATTTCATTTGATTATATATATATAGTTGTAAGTATGTAGATATAAACGACATAACATATCTGCACTCGACGACTTTTGTTATAAATATATTTTTATTCAAGTATATCATAAATAAATTATACTCGTGTGTGTTCATCGGTTAAGGATTAAAGCTTTAATTAAGCTTACTCGAAGAACTTTTTAAAATTGTCTTTTATTTAAAAAACGGTTCCACTATTATTAATTATAATGAATAATGCAAATGTTTAATGTTAGAATGAAATTAATTTATAAGAAAATACCCAAATAATAACTACGATATTATTAAACATGTAATGACTAGAGTCATAATAAATAATGCAAATATTTAATGTTAGAATACAATTAATTTATAAGAAAATACCCAAATAATAAGTGCGATATTATTAAATATGTAAAGACTAGCGTAATAATTTAAAAGTAATTTAATATTGTTACACTGGAATAAGGTTTTGAAATAAATAAATAAATATTAAATAACAATAGCAATTATTGCGCTTTAACAGATTTATCAAAAAGAAGAAAAAATTAGCATATTAAACAATTTGCATGCACTACGAGAGCAGCAGTCAACAAATCCTAAACATATAACTAAATTAAGAAAAGAAAATTAATGTTTAATACATTATTATTAATGTTTTTTTTTTAATTTCACTGGACATTTATTTTCGACATCTCTTAATCGGGAACCTAAAGTCTAAGTCGAGGAATTATTCCGCAAAAAACTGAAGATAAGTAGCTACTCAATGAAAGTTTAAAGCGGTTTAGAGAAAAGCATATGAATTATAAGATGATTTAATGAAAACTGAATAAAGAATGTTGATTAAAATGTGGTCTCAGCTGAGCAGAAAAGGAATAAGTAATGATCTCTCCGCTCTCGAAGAACAATATTGTCTCCATCAATCATCTCTTGTATCTAGTCTCTTATTTATTATTTATATTTAAAGTACCCCAAATATGTAATATATTGTAAGTAGAAAATTAATATATCACTAATTATTGATATTTCACATTTTGTTTTTTAATAAAATTGTATTTTATCGATGATCATTTTTATACTTTTTTTTATTGCAATATTTATTTCATAAAATAAATTAATTGACATTTACCTTTCACATATACAGCTAATTCTGTTTTTACACGGTGGATGGGCTGCAGAAACAACCCGTGTAAAAAAGACATTAATCATATGCCTAAATAAACCTAAAACCTATTAAAATCAGTGAAAAAGCAAGGATTTCTGTTTATTTTATTAAATCACATATAGCCTCTCACCCATATAAGACTGGTTTCTAGCTGTTTTGTCAGCTATGTGTGTTTTAATTTATTTATTTTGTGTTATTTCGAATCGTGTTAAATGGAATAAAGTCATGCCAACAATACATAAAATTATTAATTGTCAAACCGTGTTAAATTCCATCATTATGAATCAAAGACTCCCAATAACAGCGGTCGTATTACCTTTAACAAAAAACTACTAGTATTTCAAACTATATACTATTAAAATTTCGAAGGGTAATTCATAATGTGTTTGCCATAAGTCATTGGGGAAAATTGCAGAAAGTTCTCAGCGATAGAGACTAAGTGTTCATAGATCCTTGACTCAAACAACAACTGATTTGAGCATCGAAACAGAGAATTCATTCAGTTCTTCTTCCTGACGATTCAACTACATTTATTTTGGCTTTAAAAAATGAAAAAGCAGTTTTGATCCGTTGAAATGGAATGTTTTAATGCAAGCTTAAGCTTTGTCCCAAAAACAAAGGTTTTATTAGGCCCCAGAAACAGATTATTTACAATGACGAATAGTTAGAATTGAAGCCACTCTCCACATCTTTTTCTCGTTTATTATTGAAGCATGTGCGAGTTTAAAAATCTTACAACAATTTTCATATACAAAAAAATTCCCACATCCCTAGAGAGGGCATTCGTTTCAGCAAAGTAAGTCGTAATAATGAAATGGCATCTCGGCCGTCATCGTCTTGGGCACCATTCGAGCCCAGAGCGAGAGGTAGAGGCAGTGGCAGTGGCACTGGCAGAGCCCCCACATTCCCACATTGTTGTGATTTAGTAACCTGGCCAGAAGAAGCGACGTTGTCGTTATCAACTTGCTGGCTGGCTCAACTTTTCGTTGCATACATTTTGGTTACTTTGTTGCCTCCTCGTGCACAAATCACGCAGCTTCACATGTAACCAACAAACGCCAACAAACACTACCAGGAGCAGCTTAAATCCACCCACACACTCGCACACCCACACCCGAGTCCCTAGTGCCGCAGCAGCATTCCCAACACCCATCATTGTTGCCACACACACTCACTCACCTGAGGGCATTAGAAATGCAAATTTAGTGTAAAAGTTCTTACACCACACGCATCCTGTCGTTGTTGCTACTTCCATTTGCCTTCTGACTGTGCGCTCCTTTCTAGGACTGCTCTGCTCCATTTTCCTCTCAGTTTATTTTTTGGCATTCCAATTGATTTGCTGATTTGCGCATCAATCAAAGAAAATTTGCGTTGTAAGTTTGCTTTCATGTGGTCGATTCGGGCTTCTGGCTTCCCTCTCCCTCCCCCTCTCCCTCCCTTCCTGCAGCTTCTCTGGAATGCCATTTGATGTATGAATGCATGGATATACATATGTACATGTATGTGTATAGAGCTAGTTGTTGTCTATCGATTTGCTTATTGCATTTACCGTCCTCCGCCCACATCAGTCGTGCTTTTGACTTTTCCTTTGTGTTGCCCGGAAAATATCAAAGCTCTGTCAATTATGGACAAGAGATAATGATTGAATCGAAGTCAACTGCAATTACCGTGTGTCCAGAGCACTTTGTCCTGCCCGGCCTTATAGCCTGGCCCGACATGTTGTCCCATGCTCCATGCAGCCTTGCAAGCAAATAATGATTTGTTCTCTTCTGCGCCCAAAAGCAGGCACTCGATTCCTTGGATCGGCCACTTGACGCCCCTTGCCTGACACAAAATTCAATTTTCAGCCCACGGGCAACGGGCAACTGACACTGGAAGAACACGACGATGCAGGAGCAGCTGGGGAGGGGGCATGCAGCATAAAGCACATCCTATGTAGGTCGTCGTCAACGTATCCATCGTCGTCAACTCTTAGCGCAATTGCCAATTACCTGCGTTCGCTGCCAGGCTGCCAGGGTGCCAGGCAGCCTCACTGCCTTACCTACTAACTGATTGACTGACTGACATTTGGCGAACAGTGCAATGTTTTGGCCGCCAAGAAGACAAAACGTCCGCTTATCGTAAAGCACCCAAGACTTAATTTTTTATTCAATTGAAACTTTTAAAATATCCGCACAATGTATTAGTTTCTTTAAAGCTTAAAGTATTTCTATTGTCTTTCTCCAAAGAATTAACAAAATTATTGGCCATATTGGGCCATATTTTCAACATATTAAAGGCCAAGTATGAAAGATTGCAAGACAGCTTCTTTAAATTAAAAAATTAATATGTGAGCTCCCCGAATTAAATGTAAAGCTATGTTCAGTGGTTTTATTTCTTTTGGATTTGAATTAAAACTAGTCTGCCAGCCTTCAATGGCGCTGATAATAATTACAAACTTAAGAGTCTTTTAAAAGCCTTTCAATCTCTTTCCCTATTATTCTACGCTTCGCCAGGGCTTCGTTACAATCTAAACACATCTAGTCTATTTTTATGTACTATTATGAAGTATTCTAAATAGTCGTTAAGCTCATAATAATCACGCATAACTCTTTTGTTCAAGAAACTAGAGGCTCATAATGCTTGATACCTCCTTTTAAGTTAAGGTTGACAGCTATTGTGAAATAATAAAAGAACTATATGTTTTTGGAAACAACATATTTTGTAAATAAAAAAGAATTTAAAAAAGAATTTATACCGAGAAATAAGTAATTATTATCGAGAAATAATTACTGTTAAAACCAAATAACTTAATGTTTTTTTTAAAAAACATTTCATTTACAAAATTCGCAATACCACTTCTGTTTTTTAACATATCGAAGATAATAAAAAATAAAACATGTTGTTACTTATTTTGCTCTCAAAAAAGAAGCTGAAAACTATTTCTAGGCACAGATTTAAGAGCTATTCACAAGACAGCAAATCTTAAATATATATACAAATATTGCTAGAGAATAACAATTCAAAAATAATGCAAGTTGCTACAATAAATGGAAAATATTAGTCCCTCAAGTTTATTTCTCCACCCTTTACCAGTATTAAATATTTTTTCTCCACATAAACCAGCAATCTTACCGCCTTTTCCACTCTCCTGATAACTGCAAGCTCAGCTCAGGATGTGAGGAAGCTAAGCCAATAAACGCATAAAAAATAATGCATATAATGCGGGGAGGAGCAAGCGCGAAAAACCTGTATGTAAAATCTGCAGACAAAGTTTAATACAAACTTTAAATATGTAGCATAAATGTTGAATTTTATTTATTAATTGTAGCTTAATGTCAACAAACAAAGACTGTCGATAGCAGGAAAGAATAGAAAAGTTATAAACAAATAAAATTCGTATGAAATTCCTAAATTTAATCAAACTATAATAATATCTAATAAGCACCTCCGACTAGCCATGGCCGATCCATTTATTTATCTGTTTATATTTTAAATAGTTAGCAAACATTTCTTCTATTTATTACGAAACTTTCATTAGAATCAGCTCACCATATAAGGCTTCAAGCTTGATTAAAGGAAACCCCTCTATTTATTATTTTATTTCTGTCTGTAGTTTAGCGTAATTTGATTGCAATTTTGCTCGCTTCAATTAAAAAGTTATCCACTGTATCTAAGTGTCACGTCAACGTCGAAAACATTATCAACTTTTAGGCGGCACTTTAATGTGGCGCCCAAGTGCAGGCATTGCATGTTTGTGAGCCCATCCCGGCAAGGGTTAAAGGATGTGCTAACGGAGCGCGCCATTTAATATGGGCAGACTTTAAGCACCAGCAGCGGGAAACCCCCCCCCACTCCCTGCCCCCTGTGGCATTTCACCTTATCGCAATTTACCAACCACTTCCCAACATTTGCTCCACCACTTGGAGTGACGTTGCTGGCACAAAGGGAGACCAGAAACAGGGCAGAGGAGGTGTACGAGTATTGTACGAGTATTCGAGTACAAACGCCTCTGGTGCTCTTCCGTTGGCATCTCCCGATGTCTCACGTGTCATTATCTTAATTTAAAGCAGTGGGGCGTACGACGGTATCTCTCACTCACGATAGAGAGCTGCTTTCAACTCCCATATCTTTTACTTGAATACACAATTATGTGGCATTGCTGCTCGGCGCATATACGGGTGTGTGTTTGTGTGTGTGAGTGTGTGTGTGTGTGTGCTTGATACCCAGTGTGTGTTTGTGTGTGTGTCTGTTTGTGTGGTTGGTGGGCATGGCGGCAAAAATTAAATTCTTCATGCTTAGAGACGCGTGCATGGCGTCGTCGTCGAGCTCTCATCATTATATAGTCAGCCAGAAAGTCAGCCAAGCAATCGCAGACGCACGGCCGACCTCGTTACTATATACAAGTATGTATGAATATATATCACGACTGGAGACTCATTGTTGTTGCTGCTGCTACTGCTGCTGCTGTTGTTCCTGTTGTTTTGCCATTATTAGACTCGAGGGAGCTAGCATGCAATTTGCAGCAGCTCTGAGCTTCGTACATACGTGTATGTATTTGTTTATACAAGTCTACGCGCTTGTATACTTTTTTTGAAATGAAAAACATTTCAGCCTAATAGTAAATACATATAATGTAAAATATATTTGATGGCAGACGTGCGACGGCAGCATAATGAGACTTTGCCACAACACAGCGGAATGCAGACATGAGACTTGCCAAAAAACAAAAAAAATTACCAGACTTCCAGTATAGTCGCATTGTCATGCCGACGTATTATTCTGATGTGCACCGAGGCCTGCTCAGAATTGGGTGCAGACTGTCCCAACCATGGGCTTCAAGATGTTGCCAGTACATATTTTTGAAGACCAAATTTAATTTTTCCCCACATTGCAATTCACTACTAATTTTATTCAAGTTTATTGATTTCTTTATTAGCATTAAAAATGCAGGGGGAGTAGTAATTAAGATTGGAATCTCCAGCAGAGTGTTCGTAGTTTTTAATAAATACAAGCATAAATGATATAAAAAGGCTTGTAAGCTGGGAAATGTCTGCTAGCTATGCCTCGAATTACAGCCAAGTGTACGAACCAAGTGCTGCAAGCTATAGATGAAAAGATCCTTTCACTTAATAAATAAATAATAAATGTTAGCGAAAAGGCAACTGAAATGACTGTTAAATAAAAAGGTTTTACCTGCATAAAGATAGAATTAGGTCCTTATTTGAAAATTAAAGAAAACTAGTTCGCAGCAAAAAAATAGAATGTTAAAAGCCAACAATTTTCTATTTGCTATCAAGTTAATGCTGCTTAACTATTATAACAATAGTGGACCATATTTAAGAAAATGTAGTAAAATGAATTTATGAATTTATTTAAAACAAAACATAACTGTGAGATGGTGTAGAGGTAGAGGTTGGCACGACTGGGAGCTATGAAGAGGAATGGAATGGAATGTTTCTACTAATAACCACAATATTTTCTCTCTTAATGGGTGCACTTTTTTATCTTACACAAATAACATAAAAGAATATTTATTTATTTATTTAATTACAGTTAACAAAGAACTGCTAACGCTTCTATGTTCATTTGATATCTTCCCTAAAAAGATATTGATAACAATTTTTAAATATCAATTATGCGCTGGAAACAGAGATCGAATCGAACGCTGCAGTAACATTTATTCAAATGACTCTATTGCCACTCCTTTAAACAAACTGCGTACGCATTCATTCGCTGCTAAGCTCGTTTCCAACTAATAAAAGTTAATGCTAGTGCATACATATACTTGTATATGAATGTTTTTCTATTGTTTGCTAACCATTTTCAACATGCACATGTCAAATGTCAGAATGCAGGCTTCAAAAGCTATGACATATACTTGTGCTATATGCACAAAAGTTACATAAAATCAACAAAGTGTCACAGTTGATGGAGCAACTATGTCTATATATATATATATATATATATACTATATATATGTATATACATACGTGCGTATATCCGCAATTCTATTTTATTTGTGCAGTATTATTGCACTTGCTCCACCATCAAGCTGTCAAAATACAGGCAAATTCAATGCGAATGAAATGAAATTTAAATTCATAGAAAGAACTACGAGTTTTGGACACACAAAATCCCATATGTCAGTCAACGTCACCGAATTCTATTTAAAGCATTTAGGGAGCAAATAAAATTAAAAATAAATCAAAAAATATGTACATGCCGCAATTTAATAATGGCAATGCAATCAACATTTCGGGGCAGCAACAACAAAATAATGAAAACTTTTTCTGTTGCACGAAAAATCAATGCAGACTAAACTGGCGATACGAAAAGGAAAATCTGAAAATGTGCATAAATGGCTGACCTTTTTTTCGGCTTGGCTCTTATGCACACACAATCAATTATGCAATATGAAAAGCGGAGTCACGCACACACACACACACACACACACACCCCAGTAGGATAGCAAGCACATAACGAAAAATCGAAAGGCATTTTCAACAAATTTTCAACGCCGGCAGCGTCTGCAATGCGGCATAAGTTGTTGGCTGGTCTAAGGGCAATGCGAATGAAGAGGACGAGGAGGGGAGGAGGAGGGGGAGTGGGAGGAGGTCAGAGGCCTCAAATAGACAGGCCAGGCAGCGGTGGGAACAACTTGTTATTGACAAAGAACAGGCGGCCAAATGACTGCCTACTGCCTGTTTTCCATTGAAGGCATACATTTGTACAGTGAGTGGCAGAGGTACGCGCACAAATATAATTTTTACAATATTCAAGTCTAAACGCATTTATTATTATAAAAAAATTTATTACAAAATTTTGGATTTTATAAAGGAATTAAATTAAGAATAATTTCAAATTTTTATTACAGATTTTCTGCAGAAATAAAGCAATTATTATTTATTTATATATATATTATTATGATATTATAAATCAAACAAAGTACATAATTATATCAAACTAATATATAACAAACCACAGTAATAATACTACGTTTTAATATTAATCTAAGATATAAGAAAATCTGAGAAAAAAAACTGTACTTTAATGTCTTTTAATGCCTCTGATACGTTGGGGAAATTTTAAACAACCAATTAAGCATAAAGAGAAAAATAAAAAGAGAAAGAGAAAAAGGAAAATCTCCAATCCGGTGGGGAAAAATTTAATTGCCAGTCCAGCAAGCGATGCTCACAGATTTCCACGAAGATAAGTATAAAGAGCAACTTTATTAGAATTTAGAGAGAGTTCGATCGAAATTAAATGTGAAAAAACATTTTAAATGTGAAATGTCATTTTAAACTAATGCAAAAGGCCCGATTTAAATGGATTATTTACTTACGTGTTTCTTTTATTATAAATAAATGTCATTTAAACTTAAATATTACCATTTGCGGGCGGTTTTCAAAAAGAACCTAAGCTGCCATTCAATTTTCCTCAATTTTGTACTTCAAAAGTCCTTTTGAGAAACGATGTTGTCTTAATTTAGTTTCATTTTTTCATTTTCTTTACCAACTATTTAAATTGCGAATAATCGTATCGTATCCCAGCTATCCCATCTAATCTAAACGCAAACGAGTTCTTAAATGAAAACTAAGCAAAATATATGTGCGCATAATTTTGGGGTGTGGTGTGAAGAGTTCGGCAGAGAATTTGGCTTGGGCTCTTGGTCTGCATTGTTGCCTACTTAGCAGCGTCTCCAGAGCTGCTTGTGCATTTTGTTGCTGAAGCCATCAACATGAACACAATAGTCATCATCGTCATCATCATGTACCATAAAGTTCGGAATGTGTGCTAGTATGTATGTGTGTGTGTGTGTGTGTGCTAGTGTGTGTGTGTGCGTGTGTGTGTGTGTGTGAGGCGTGTCAGAAGTTTGCCAAAGGCTACAAAATAGTTTGCAACAACAAATAGAACAATGGCCCTTGCTTACACTCGCACAGCACTCAATTCGACAACAAAATTTTGACCTCAATATTTGTTCAACATTTCAGCAACAATTTCGTTATGCGATTTGCTCTGCCCGCTCAAGCGCAGCACTGCAAGCGCCACGCCCCCAAGCCCAACGTCCAACGCCCTACAGCTGCCAGCTGCCCCTTTCTGGCCGTTTCTGGCAGTTGCCGTCAGTGAAAGTGTTTGGTCATAGTTTTAGGGTTATTTTCAATCGTTGCGTTCGCTTATTGGTTTGATTTGCACTTTGTAGTTGTAGTTGTTGTTGTTGTTGTTGTAGTTGAGCAGTGACTGAAGGTTTGAAGGTTGGAAGGTTGCAAACTTTTGGCCAACATCTGGCATTGATTTTGTTGACTGACCGAATAAATGAATGCATCACAAGGTCCACAATTTGCCAAAACATGTCACAGACAATTTTGTGCTTCAATGCTCCACTCTTAATTAGCTCGTATCTGAAAATAAGAAAGATATAGGATTATATAAGATTAATTGAACGTTCACTTAAGCGTTTACATCAATAATTCAAACCTCAACTTTAATTCGTAACTCATTTGCTTTCGAGCCAAGAATAATGCAAACTTTTTTTAACGCTCTTCGTTGCAAGATAAAACGAATTAGTTTTTCAATTGGAAAATTTAATTCTACTCAGCTTTTAGAAGCAGTCGTTTTCCGTTCATCAAAAAACTTATTTTTATATTTATATATCTGTAGTAAAATTTATTTATATATCTAAGAATAATGCATGAATTGGATGTAAACTTTTTTTAAAGCCGTCCGTTGCAAGATAAAGCTAATATGTTTTTAAATTAGGGAGTCAAAATAGTCTATTCAAATAAGTTATATATAACTTTGCGTTTGAGACTTGAAGTTTGTCTTTCATCAACAAATATGTTGTTGTCGTTTATATATCTGTAGTAATTATCTCCCCACTTACATTTTCAATGGTAACAAGTAAGCTGAATAAACAAAATGAATAAATTTCTTATGAAATGAATAGTAAGTATTCTACAATGCATATTTTATACATTACAATATTTTATACAATGTTTACTTATATTTTCTGTTAAAAATTTAAATGTTTAATTTAAAAAAATATATACATATATAATATGCGTTTAATCCTTGCTGCACTTTTCTAATTCTTTTAAGTGTTATTAATAATTTTTTTTTTAAAAGATATGAATTGAATAACTTTTAATTACTATTATGATAATTTATTATTTATTAACAAAACAAATACTTTACTAGCTTTGTTCACTTAAAAATTCAACACCAATCTATAACGAAAAATAACCCAACTACTTACAATTACAAATCCAGGAGGAGTTTTTCAAAAGGTGAGCAAAAAGAACAAAATATGAGCCATTTCTACGCCATTGTTCAATAAGCTGCGAGCAGCTGCGTAACTTACCCAAACGTGTGTCAGCAGACGAAATATTAGCCAGATTTGGAAGCCAGGTCCAAAGCACACGATGTTCAGCAGCCTGAGGCTCATGGGAAAGTCGCTTAGGAGCAACCAGTACGAGAGGCTGCCGATGAAGCAGACGAACATGACAAAGTTGGAGACGAGGACCAGACTGCTAATGAGCAGCAACTTGCAGTTCTGCAAAAGCAATCGATGAGCATGCATTGGAATTGTAATTTAAATTGCGAAAGCCACCGGCACTAAAAGGGCCAAATTGAATGGCAACAGGAGCGCCAGATGATGCCGGAACAGAGTCTCGAAGAACTTCCACATGGGCGTGAGGAAGACTTGGTGCATCTGCTGGGCTCGCTGCTCGGAGGCTGTCGCTTCATAGACCACCGGCATATAGTAGAAGGTGTTGACGGGCCCCGGGGATTTGATGGAGGCTGTCCAAAATAGGGAGAAATAAATGTAAACTTAATTGTGGTTAATAAAACGGCGTGTTCCCCGCTTCACCTTGAGCCAAGTGCTTGAAGCGATTGATGACAAAATAAAAAAACACATTATGGACAACCAGGAGCAGAGCCTCTCGTTTAATCGGGCTAATGGAGCGCTGAAAGGACATTGTTGGCGGAAAAAAGCAGCTCATTGTATGGTCATGGATATACTTACAAATACCATAACAATTTGGTATACGAGTATAATTAAGGTTACCACACGCTCTGAAATATCGGCCATAATTTTAAAGAATAGAGTAGCAATCATAGGATAAGTGTATAAATAAGTTACAAAATGATTTCGTTATGACTTAAAAAAAACCGAAAAAAAAAACAACTGAACAAGAACAGTTTTGAAAATATGAATGACTGCCGAATGTTAGATTTTGTTTAAAAAAAACTCCAGCAAGTTCATTATTATTACAAGTATTAGTTCAAATATTATTATTTTAAAGCATTTCGCAGCTGATGTTTTGAAAAAAATAGACAGTTGCAATGATAATGAAAAAAAGTCACGTTTTGATTTCGCCAAAGTGAACTAAAATTATAAATTGTTTGAGAACAGTTATGCAAATTAAATGTTGTTTATTTTCTGTTATGCTGCGCTGCATTTTAGTCTATTACAAGTATATTTGAAGTAAATTTGACTTGAATTTCCATGTCTGCCCATTTCCGACCGCTCTTGATTTATGAGGAAGCTGTAATTAAAAGCATCCACCCGCAAGTCTTGCTAATGGTTTACAATTACCAATTATCAAAGATAATGCAGTACTTGGCTTTAGACATACGTCTCTACGACCACAAAAATAATTTCAATTGGAAAATCATGCAGAAGTTGAATGCCACTGCAAATTAACAGCCTGTCAATAAATGGTCAAAACAATCGCACGAACAGCAAAGGCCTAAAGGCAGCTCACAGCCATTAATTGGGCATGTTGTCGGAATAAATAAATTTGGTATCTAATTTCATTGCAGCTCAATGGGTGGCCGACATTCTGAAGATAAAACCAATTAGGTGTGGCATTAAACACAATTCAGATTCAAGATGCCAGCCGATAAACGAGCTATAAACAAATATGCTTGTGAATGTATGTTGTGTTTGAGAGAAGAAAGTGTTTAAAACAATTCCACAATAAGCCCTCACCCTTCAGATATGAATATTAAATAAATATGGCATTATGATTCCATGTTTCTGACTGCAATTTGCTAGATTTATATGAGTTTAGTTATACTTGTAAATAAAATACGCTTAATATTATTTCTGATGCCAAAAGCTGATATTAATTAATCCCAGAGAAGGAGCATTTTTCTAATTATTAGTATTATTATCAAACGAGTTGAATTATTAGGCCAATATTTCCATTGTCAAGTCTTGCACGCGTTTTTATATCATTTCAATTCTTACAAATAAATTCAATTTAAATTAATTAATTAAGATCGTTTATGTAACTGGTACCAACTATTACGGTAAAGAATTAATATCTTCTTCAACAATAGCTTAAGACTTGCAGACGTTCCTATTTCAACAAGTTCTCAATTCTTAAAAAAAAAAACAATTCAATATAAATTAATTAATTAAGATCGTTTATGTAACTAGTACGACATAGAATTAATCTCTTCTAAATGAAAACAGATCGCTTATTAGTGGAATTGTAATAAGAAGCCCTTTTCAATCCTTCCCTGCAGTTTCTTTTCGTCATTCTTTCTTTCTTCGATTCTTTAAACATTTTAAGCATACTTTAAGCAACAGCTCTCAACATTGCTTAACATTAAATAAATCTAAAAAAAATAATAAAGATCAATAAAAAAAATGTCGGCTCATGCGGAAATATTTTAAGCTTTTCTTGATAGAAAGCAATTCATTCAATTCGTGTTGTTGTCAGGTCAAGAGTTTTTTGCCCGCGGCTTAAATTCTTTGATGATTCCAACATACGAGTACATGCAACACTATACATAAATAGTACATATATGTATACATACATACATACGTAGCATGTACATGGTACGTTGTTATTAAAAAGAAAAAAATACGCAATCAATATAAATAATGATTACGATTAAATAATGTGTAATCCATGCTGCGCTCTTCCTTTTTTTAATGCACACACACACTTGTTTATTTTTTATTTTTTGAACTGCAAATTTAATTAAACATTAATCATTACAATGGCTGCCGCGGGGAGTGCATTAAGTGGGCGACTCGTTAATTAACGAGTCGGCTGTCCATGGCAACTGGCCGAAAAGGATTTGCCTTATTAATTGCACAGAGTTTATGCTTTTGGTAAATTGAACACACATGCTAGTTAGATCCTTTTCCTCTCCCATCCCTTCGCCATCTGTCCACACTCTTCTCTTTATCTGCCACTTGTTATTTTAACTGCACTTAAAAGCATTTTGCACAAAATTGTCACGTACGGCACTTTTCATCAAAGTAAATCGAGCTTAAATTGATTTTGCCCACAGTGTGAAACACACACACACACACTCACACACACACACATAACAGTGTATGTATATATGCATAGCTAGCTCTACTTATATAGGAAGTATAACGCTTGCCTTTTGGTCGCTTGTTATCTTGGCAAATTCACCAAAATGGTGGCTGCCTTTAAAACAGAAAGCGCGGCCTCAGGCTCTGCACTATTGTTATGCACTGGAAAAAAATGTGTACACAGAATCATCGCAATCATTAGAACTATTTTCGAGCCTTTTTGAAGATTTTGTTTAAATATAAACAAATCAATTGTACACTAAACAACTAAATAATATCACCCAATACTTTCAAATATTGCTTAATAGCTAGTACCTGAGCACCTTAATGTGTGTAAGATCGATCGTACAAGAGTCCTACATAGAAAAAGTAACAGGATTTTAATAAAATAATATATATATAATTACTATATATAATTTAATATATAATATAATTATAAAGCTTTATGAATACAGTTTAGTTGCAATTTTGAAATGGCGTTTCTTTTTGATTTCCTCCTCAGGTTTTCAAATATTTACTTCTCTATATGTGTGGTAAAAAAAACACATTTTGTATTAATATAAGTTTATATATGTATAGTTAATATAAAGTTATAAAAAAAAATCGTACAATCAATAAAACGATAAAAGATGTTTGTTTTATTCTTTTTGTTTCGTTATTTAGTTACATTTTTTATTTAGATTAGTCGATTCGTTAAGACTAGCTAGTTAAATATTTTTACTTAAAAAATAATTAATGCTATACAAAATAATATGTTTGCTGTATTCTTTTTGTTTCGTTATTTAGTTACATTTTTTATTTAAATTAGTCGATTCTTTAAGACTAGTTAGTTAAATATTTTTACTTAAAAAATAATTAATACTGCTATTTTTAATTATTAGCGGATTTCCTAAACTTTACTTAAATGCGTTTATGAATTTGAATAAAGTTTTTTAAATAGTTACACCTTTTCCATGTCAAACATTATTAAATTCAAAATTGAGTGCATTTAAGATTTAACAGACAGATTAAAATCAGTAGTTAAGAGTGCAAAGATATTTGTTAAGTGTGAATATATATATTATATATACTATATATAATCTTGATCATTGAGCTGATAAAACCGTTTCAATCTATAATCGTTCATCTGCATAAACGCGTGGATTTTTTGAAGCTAAACAGTGAGAATAAACAAGAAAAGAATATTTATTTTTACCTAAGTCGTCAGCAGGACAAATTCTATGCGTATTCATAAGGATATGCTTTAAATGTGTTGTTTTATCATTTTTATTTGATTATTTTAAGTTGAAAAAAATAAATAAAAACATTTTATAATTTATTGTTTCATAAAAAATTAAATAAAAACATTTTATAATTTATTGTTTCATAAAAAAAATTAAATAAAAACATTTTATAATTTATTGTTTCATTTATTAGAATTTTCTTCCTGTTTTAAAATTTAATTTTACAATTGTAGAGACTATTCTTATGCGTTAAAGTGCATATCCAGAGCTGATAACAGATTACATATAATTCTTTTGCATACTATGCAGGTGCTTAACAAATTGTTGTGCTGTAATATTTTCAAGTGTTTTCCATCCATGCTTTGCTCTCAACGCCAACTGCCTAACTGAATTATCTTTGCAATAACATTTAGTCAACGTTGATTTGATTTGATTCCATATACTTATATACTGAGGAGTGTAGGTAATACTTACTTATGAAATAAGTACCTGGGCTGTTTTTATTTGATTTTCGTTTTGGCTGTTAAGTGCTCGGCAGCAGAAGCCATTCAAACTACTGAGAACGGTAAATCAAAGCGCGCAATTTCCACCTTCCATAGGCCGGTCAGCAGAGGGCAGAGCAGGGCTGGGGAAACCGACAAGCACGAAAAATGAACATGCACGCAATTTCCGTTGTCCCGCACACAAACACTCGCACATACATAGGTGTGTGTCCCTGGGACTCAGTTAGTGGGTTAGGCATTTGAGTTGGCAGTTGGGAGTGCGACTTTCTCATTTCTATTACAGCAACAAGTTTTAAAATCTACATACACACCACCTTTCCGCCAAAAACTCATGCATTCATTTTATTTTCATTCAAAAAAAAAAGAAGAAGCAGAAAACCCATTTTCGTGTTTCTTTTGTGAGTATGGAAAAAAAGAGAAAATAATGAAAGCCAGCAACTGAGTAATTTATGCATTTCCACACATTTAAATGTGGTCGCCACGAGATGAGATGGGCAGGCCATTCAGTTAGTCATCCCGTCAAGTCACAGCCAGCCCAGACACGTGATGCGTCTGAGGACGCAGCGATTTGCGTTTCGCTTTCATTTTCCACACCGAAAAATGTCCCTTTCATAAAGAGGAATAACTGTAATGGGCATCAAAAGCGCAAACAGAGAGAAGACGGCAAATTCGCGTCCAGAGGGTATTGAATGGAAATAGGGATGTGCGTGACATGGCAGGACCAAATTATTAAGAAAGCTCTACAAATACTACAAAATTCCGAATTTTAATTAATAACAATTATATGTAACGTACTCGTATTAACTGGAACAGTTGCTTTTGGATCGTGAGTTCAATAGTGAATAAATAAATAAAGAAATAAGAAACTAAAAATAATAAATAAATAAATGAACAAATAAATACATAAATGAAGAAATAAATAAGTAAATAAACAAATAAATAAATATATAAATAAATAAATAAATAAATAAATCAATAAATATATAAATAAATAAACAAATAAATAAACATATAAATAAATAAATAAATAAATAAATAGATAAATATAAATAAATAAATAAGTAAGTAAATAAATAAATAAATACATAAATAAATAGTTAAATAAATAAATATGTAAATAAATAAATAAATACATAAATCAATAAATAAATTAGTAAATAAATAAATAGATAAATAAATAAATAAATAATTAAAACAATTAAAAATAAATGTCTCTTTGCTTCTGAGTGGCATGATAAAACAAATTTCAAGGGCATCATAAAAGTTTTTAATTCTTTAACTTAGAACAGATCTTAAATAAAGATTAATCATTAAGTACAAAAAAATATGTATAAATGATATGAAAACTGCTAATAAATTTAAGCTTTTCATGTAACTATAAAAAATTTAAGGCAGAATTTATTATAATTTGTTTATCCTGCCAGCTCAGTTCCCATTTGCAGGCAAATATAATCAGAGACGTTATTAGACCTGCTAGAAACATGGGAAATATAATTAATTAATCATTATTAGAAATATATTAGCCATTTTAATCACTATTATTTGATTCTCAAACAATACCTAGGAAAGTCTGTATGGCAAAGGAACTATCTAGATGTCCTGGTCTTTATTTATTTCGTTCTCATCTGCATTTTCTTTGGCTTGATTACTTTAAAATGTCGTTTTGTTAAAATCATATTCTATTGAAACCTTATATGTCTGTGACTCTCTAAATATCTTTCAACTGTAGACTGTTTTTCTTTTAAGAAAGAAATAATCGCTGTTTCTGATACAAAAGCAGTTAAAAGTATGAAATTCTTTATACTCCATGTACTTATAAATTAAACAAGACTAAACTAGTTTAGGTTTATTTGTATTTTTCTATAAGTTTAATTAAAGTTATGGTAAATAATAACCGTATAATTAAAGTTTTAAACTATAACAAAAATTAAAAAAAAGAATAAATTTACTTCTAGTAATAGAAGTATTTAAAAAATGCAAGCACGCGAAGAAAACAATCTTAAAAGGTAAATAAAGAAGAAATAAAAATATTTGAACAATTCGTGAACAATAATATTAATTGCGATTGTATATTCTGCACATCCCTAATTCCGACTCAAGGTGGAGGGTGGAGGACTCGAAGACATTTTATGCGACTTTTGGGAATTGTTTAGAAAATTGACAAATTATGAGCGTAAGTGGCACGATTAGTTTTTCTTGCTCGCTTTGCATGAACAGAGAGAGCTCTGACTCGGCATTTGGGGAGCTCGCCGGCTGTTGTGTGGGGCTCAGAGCTGTGTCTATGATGACGCGTAAGTGCATATCATAGCTATATATAGATTTCCCACTATTGTGCCTCACAATGCGCCAACCTGCGTGTTATTAATAATAAATTTAGCCGGCTTATAATAGACGCCCCGCATAACACGAACCACCACTGCCGAGCCAGCCCCCTTTCCTCCCCTTCCCATCCGCCCACACGCACCAATTCATGGCGAAAGCCCTCAATGTTTTCCATTTGGCATACATCGTCTCATTATATATTCATGCAAGTTAAGTGCGAAAGCTCATATAGTGGAATAATAAATTGAATTTAGCGCACAAGCTTGTACAACTGTATAAACAGTTACACGTGCTCTCCAGCAGATACATTTGTATCTGTATATTTGTATGTGTGTGTGGCCGTAGCTGTGTCTTCGTTTCTGGCATTGCCAATGACGCACTCGCGATTATAATGCGCTCTCCATGTCTGCCATCGTCTGCCATTATCTGCTCAGGTCGGGGTCGTTTTGACTGCCAATGCCTTGTTCCATATGCCCCCAAGTGCTTTCAATATCCACTTGATCCCTCAACGTCACGGTAGCTCGTTTCGACTGCGGCAAACACGTTGCTTGTTTTTCTGGGCTAATTGCGGAGAGGCTTAACGATATGCGCCAACCATAAAGAAGCTGAAAAGCAAACTATCAGGTGAGCTAAAGCTTATTCCATAGCTTCGACTTAAATTTAAATCAGCTACCCACTTGTAGCTACACATATTCGGAATATTATGAAATTGTTACGAGATTCGTATTATTTACATTTTACCGTGTTGGACCCTTCGGTAAACTTTTGAATTAGCTTTAAAAAATACGGATGACAACATCAAATTGGTTTCTTAACCCTAGTGCCGAATTAAGCTTTTAAAAAAGGCCAGTTGTTTAGTATAAACCTATTAAGAACTGAGAAAGAATAATGAATTCCTGCTTCTTATCTTAATAAGAGACATGTAGTCTCAGTACAAGACTTCTTCTTTGTTTGAATAAACCTTCAATATGAAAACTTCTTTAAGAACTTGAATTAGAAAATCCTTTGGCTAATTTTATTAAAATTTCTATTTTCTATAAAAAATTTGTTGAAAAGTACCAAAGTAACCAACGACTGCAATTTTAAAAAGCAAACAATATGGTAAAAGGATTTTTATTCTATCTTATATAATTTATATATATAATTCATAAATAAACCCGAACTATTTTTTTTTTGAAAGGTTATGTGTTTGAAAAAGTACACTTTAAGTAATCTTAGTTTATATTGGCTGTACAAGCAGATAGTGGAAGCTTTAGAAGTAAATTGTTAAAAATTTTAATTTAATATTCATTTAAAGTCTTTGAATCTTTAATATTGGATAAGTTTATTATTATTTTTATTATCATATTTATTATTATATTTATTATTGTATTTATTATTATATTTATTATTATATTTATTATTATATTTATTATTGTATTTATTATTAATAGCTATAACCTATTACACGAACTTCATAACAGAAAATTGAAGAAGAAATAGCTGAAATGAGAACAAGGATACACAAACCCAAAAAGTTGCAAAATTAATAAAAAACTTGTCTATAAATATTGAAATGAAACCTTACACCTTCACTTTATCATATCTTCTGATTAATTACGCTTGGTCTGGCTAAGCTGCGTTTCTAGCATTAGAAAAAACCCCACCTGAAAGGATGCGTAACCCATATTCCAAAAATAATGGGAAAAGGTAATAGTTATCAGAAGGCAACTCTTTATTTGCAGACTCAAAACTTCTGGCATTTACTGGATTGGGAAAGAAGAAGCCATTTGGTCAAAACTGAAATGTCTTCTTTACCATATAATCAGAAAAATTTAACTAGATTTCCAAACACACTGAATCATATTTGTTTTTATTACATTTCATTTAAAATATATATTTTTATATGTCCTAGAAAATGTCTTTTTATGGATCGTATGTGAAAATTATAAATACTTATCTATACAAGTGTTATACATTCACCGAATCTTAATTGTATTAAGTTTTGGAAACCTTCTTCTCCTGCTTAAATTGGGAAACAGACGAGATTGCAAACTAGATTCGATTTCTATTTGCATTTGGACCATAAGGAATTTACAGAAATTTTATTATTACTATTACACTATGTGAAGACAATTACTTTTAGATTGGAAGACGGTACTACACACTACATGAGAGCAGGCATACAATTTATTTTTACGTTGAGCCGAGACTTTGTTTTGTGCTTGAGGAGGTTGGCTGGCTGGCGTTAATTTCTTAGAACAGCACTCAGAAAGTTGCAGAATTTTGGCGAACAGCTGAAGGGTGTTTTGTTGGTGGAACTGATGTATTGCTAGACTGATGACGCTTTAAATTGATTGAAGGCCGGTCTCGGACCATGGAATTATGTGACTTTAAAGCAATACACAATGCTAAGCATCCTTGGCATTGGAAGTGGACAGTGTTGGGCAATTTCCAATTAACGGCCCGTGCACACCCTACGGCGCTTGTGACGACAGCTCGTGGTTACCTTACAGGCCTGGAAAAGAGGACAGAGAATGGATTTATGATAGGATTAGCATTATTGTAATAATTTTTGGGCAAGCATCTTCAAATATATTGAAAAAGATAATGGAAGAAACGTATTTAAATAGTCTTCTTCAGTGGACTGCACTTACCATGCGTCTGTATCTATTCTTCTTCTCCTCGGAGAGACGGCACCAAGCACGCGCCGCCTTCATTATCAGTTCTTTGGGCTTGAGGCCACAGTGTTTCTTGCGATAAGCGCGTATAAAGTTCAGATAGCCATTGTTCATGACTGGGCCCGGCTTACTGCACTTCTTGCGCTTGCCGCATGCAGGCTTCTTCTTTTTGGGGCAGGCCCTCTTCTTGGGCTTGCATTTTGGCTTTGGCTTGGGGCATCTGGGCTTGGGCTTGGGGCATCTCGGCTTGCGCTTCGGTGGTGGACAGCATGGCGGCGGCTCTGGGCAGCTCGGCTTCTTCTTTTTCTTCTTCGGTGGACAGCATGGGGGTGGAGATGGTTTTTTTGGACAGCAAATGTCCATTGCCCTTAGGTCGGTTTTACTTAGAGACTCAGACTCATTTGTTGTGGAAGATCCCAACTCCGGAGCAGAGGAATCGCAGATACTGTGATTATCGACATCGTCGCTCGACCTTTCCATCTGCCTGAATGATTCCATTTCGGTATGGCTCAGTTTCTTCCAGCATCTGGCACCGGACTTAGTCGCCTCCAGCACATCCATTCCACTGTTAAGCTTTACGAATTCGCGCAAATAGTTCAAAAACCCGTTATTAGTGATGGGTCTCTGGCGCATGGGTTTCGGCCGTCTCCGATATGAACGTGAAAACATATCCTACGAATTCTCACAGAGCAGTGTACCGCTTCGAAATTTGTGTGCGTTCCGAAATCTAAGGCCAGACATAAAACTAGAATTAGTAATTGATAAACATTCAAGCTATAGGTAGGATTTCATTTGCAAAGTCTTCCTATTTTAAGTTGTTACATTTCTTTTCTAATAAATATTCAAATATTATTTCATTCACATTTGTTCAATTTTTTTTAAACATATTTTATGGTCTTTTATTTTAAATAAATATACACATTTTTAGTTGTATTTTATTATTTATTATCAATAATTTATAATTTGTTTAATTTAAATAATAAATATTAATTAATAATGAGCAATCCATAATTGTTTTCAATATTAACAAGCTTAGCATTCATTGCTTATTAATAATTAAAGGCTACTAACAAATAATGGCAACGATCTGTTATTGGTTTTCTGAATTTTCTAAATTTTGAATTAATTTTAAGACTTTTGCAAAAGTCGTTTATTACTAAAAACGATTGCTTTTTAACTAAATAGAGTTTAAGACTATTTTCGGAATCGGATTCACTAATTAGTTGCTAGTTAATTTCTGCTTTCAGTTTATATCTAAAGTATTTGAGAACTGCCACATGTAATCTCAATAGATTCTTTATAAATATATATTTAATTATAATACAAGCATTCTATGAACTCAAATGTTAAAATCTGAATAGCAAAAATAATAAGAAAAAATCAGCATTTGGAAATGTTTCAAACAGATTCGTAAACTGATCAATGTCTTGTGTTAATTATTTTGAAAACTATTCATTGAAGCTCTAACACTAACACTACCCAGGAGGCAAGTCCGAATGGCAAAGGAAGTCTGTAGATGTCCTTAAAGCACAAGCAGCACAACAAATGTCCCTCCCCGATACTCAGCCAAGCAATGCCAACAACAATAACTAAGGACCGAATTGTTTGCCAACACCGTAAGCCGCAGATGTCCTGTTGCAAGTGTTTGAGCCGCAGAGCTGAGTTGTGTCCAGAAGTCACTTAATCAGTAGGACAAGTTGGTTGTGGACATCTGAGCGTCACAATTTTCAGGAGCGGCATAAGCAACAATAACAACAACGGTGCTTACAACAGTTGACTCTCTGTTGGAAGAACTAGCTGTCTATTTGTCTACTAGCTGACTAGAACTATAATTCAAGAATAGGATATTACTTTAGAGAGAGGGAGAGAGAGAGAGAGAGAGAGAGAGAGAGAGAGAGAGAGAGAGAGAGAGAGAGAGAGAGAGAGAGAGAGAGAGAGAGAGAGAGCGGGAAAGGAAGAGAATAATGAATGAGCTGTTCCGACTCTATTCGGGATTATTTATATTTTGTTTTAGATGATGGCATTGCTTTTGTCTTACGCTCCAAGTTCAGTTAAATATGGAACAATTAATTGTCTACTTGTCTATTTTGTGACTCGTACTAAACTATATTTCATTATTATTCAAATTATTTATCTAAGCTCATGTAAGATAATAAGGAGAGAGAGATGAGAGAGAGATAGATGGATAGAAAAGTAATAAAAACAGATTGTGATAGGTCCGTCTGCCTGAGTTATTCCGTTTCAATATGAGACTATTTATATTTTATTTAAGTTCTCAAACTAGTTCTGAAATTATATAGAATAGAAGAATACTTTAATCCGATTTATATACTATAACTGCCATTCCCCTTTGTATAATTCGCTTTAAGGATCTAAGCATGCAATGCCTTTTCATGTCCATGTATAATACATAGTATGTGTGCTCATATAGTATTCCAAAATATTAATATCAAACTGTTCTGTTCCGGCACTAATGCTAATTAATGTCCTGCGGTGTCTATGTATTGCATGTGTGTGTGTGTGCCTTCTAAGAGGTCGGACAGGCATTGCATGCATGCTGAAATTTATTTCCCAATCCTGCCAGCGGGCGGTGCTATGCCGCCAATTATATTTAATATACATGCATGCATACTTGTATATAGAGTATTGGCTGGCAGACTGACACATGAACCAGTCAATCCATTTCGAAACTGCAAGTTGCATTAAACGGAGTTTATGATTATGAGGATTATGATGGCGTTGAGGATAAGGATGAGGATGGCGATAAGGATGACAACAACAGCCACTGGCGCAATCAAAGCGTTTTTCAGACGTTTGCAGACAAGTTACAAGTGGAACACGCGAGTTGAGCACAAAAGCTGCAAGGACTCAAGCGAGTGATTATCATTAGCCCGAGCAGTTGCAGTTTAGCTCGCACACACACACACACACACACACAATCACACACACAGAGACAGCGAAGTGACAGCAACAATGTTTGAGTAATTGTTTGCAGGAGCAGCATCAGCAACATCGTTCGACTGTCACGCAAATGCAACAAAATTTGCATGCATTTTGCAATGAAAGGACCCACCATCCAGCCACCCACCAAACCACCCAACCAGGACCTGCCACAAAGGCACGTCTGCTGCCAGCCAGCTGCTGTACTTATATACCCTACACAAGAGGGAGTTTTTACTTCGTAAGGAAAAACGATGGACTATTAATGCTAAGTAGCCATTGGTACGCCAGAATAGAGTCGCGACTTTTTATACAAATGATGATTATTTTCTATTATTATTATAGAGTTATACTTTGGGAACAATTGCCATTTTATTTTGCTGCAAGGAAGGTAAAATACTTGGTCTATCAGGGAGGGAGCTTTAACTTTTTAAAGAAAAAGCCTGCTAGAAGATAAGACTATTATTCGTACTATTTACTCTGTCACGATTTTCTTTATAAGTGAAGATTATTTTCTATTATTATTCTAGAGTAATATTTCTTTTTTATTTTGCCACAAGGCATGCATAAAACTTGGTCTAATAGGGAGAGAGTTTTTAATTTATAAGTAAAAACGTTGGATAGAAGAAAAGACTATTATTGCTTTGGAGCCATTCGTACGATCTATTCTGTCACGATTTTTTTATAGAAGTGCTGATTATGTTCTATTATTATTCTAGAGTAATATTTCTATTTTATTTTGGCATTCATTTTTCTATTAAGGCTAGCATAAGACTTGGTCTAATCATGTAAGCCATGAAAAGTAATTCAAAAGAACACAAAAATTTAAATATTTCTTCTCTTTTTTGCAGGAAATTATTTTTTACAATGAAATTTGAAAAATTTGTGATCAAACTATCTGCCAGTCTGGCCATAATTTCTGAACATAATTCTTTAGATATTGTTTATGCGTTTAAGGCTAACAGCTGTCAGCGGTCTGTTAGTTAACAGAGTGTTGCCCGCGTCGCAGCCTCTCTCCCTAACAGTCTAATGAGTCTGTAAGCGCTTTACTGGGAATTTGTTAAGTACTCTAAAAAGCAGAAACTTTGTGAATAGACGTATCAGAGAAAAAAGATTGATAAAGCCCAGTTCGTCCTATATGTCTTTACTCTTCAAATCGAGGCTATATATAGACACCCACCCCCATGCAGCTTCATATCTTTTAATTCTCTCTTAGCAGCCAAGAAATTAGTTCAAGATGCAAATGGCAGAGCATTAAGAGTTTGGGCAAAGCCCGAATATTATTTCCCCTTGTTGCTTTTGGGGGTGGTGATGATGGTTATGCTGTTGCTGCTGTTGCTGCTGCTGCTGCTGCTGATGTTGCACGTAGTGACATTCGCAACAACTGCAGCAGTAATTGCAACAAACAATTAGCGTCGACTGGATTTGGATTTATGTCGCTGCATTATGCTTCACATTGTTTAGGGGTTCGCTTCAGTTCTCGAAGTTGTTTAATCACGACACATAAAACATTTGTTGCCCCAAAATGTGGCAGCAAATTTTGATTCCGAGCACTTGGCGAGAGATAAAGGGGACGAGGACCTTAACACCTGACAACTCAAAGAGCCAACGCCATCCAACACTTTGTCTTGGTCTAACAGTTGCCAAGAGCCACAGGCAGGCAGGCAGGCAGGCAGGCAGGACGACTTAAGTCCTTCGTTTGCTTCGTTTGATTTATGTAATTGCTGTTGGCGCTGGCGTTGGCAGCACAGCACCACTCGTCCGCAGTACGACTAGTTTGTTAGTTGAGCGTGGGTGCGGATTTTGCATCATGTAATGAATGTTGTTGCAGCATGTAAATGACGCCATTACAAGTGGCGCGCTGTTATCGCCACCGATACGCGAAAGCCCGCCCTAAACACTGGACAACTGCCGGGATAACTGAGAGGAGGGCTTGCGGACTGGGCTTACATGTGTCCACACTTGTGTGAGCAGACACAACCCAATCCCCTTCAAGTATTTCATTATCACTTACCCGCGTATTGATTTGTTATAACAAGAAAAAATAAACGAATTTATATTTTTTTTGTTATGGAAAAAATCACAAAATTTGCAACTAAGATGAATTTATAATAAAACTTGTAGAAATGAAATGCTACGAAATGAATGACATTTAGATAACTGCCTACTTAGTTGAATGTTTTGCCCATTCAATTGAATATTCTCTACTCTTTATATTAAATATTATAGAATCAGCATTAGCTTAAAGCAGGCCAGGCACATGAAAATTATTTCATTTTTGTAACCTTTAGACTCATTTCTCCACCAAGATGATGCAGTTTGGCGGAATGCAATGAATTGAAGCAAAGATTCTTTGCTCCAAATACTCTACAAATGTATTTCTAGCATCTGGTCTGTCGTGCCTTCTTCTGAATGCCATTTTGTGCCTAACCTTTCACCTTTCGCTTGCTACTCGACCTTGCAACTCTTTACAATCAACAACGCTCGAATGACGCGATTGTCCTCTTCAGAAGTAACCCTTTCTTCATTTGTTATAAGTTATATCTTGTACTCACCGTTTTATGTATTGATATCGCTAACACTTGAAATTTAAGCGCGAAAATCTCTGAACACGCTCGGAAAAAAATTTACAATTACTATTTGTATGTATTACGACCGAGAAAATAATACTAATTTTCTGTTGAAAGGCTCCGTTCAGACTGACAAGATGTATTTAGTGTTTTGAGTGGAAACACATGGCACACTCGTATTCATCTGATTTGTGGACGCAATGCCTGCTGCCACCAGATATTCTGTCTATTCATCGCCCTTGTGGTTAGTGTGTTGTGGCATAAATAATGCGCCTGCTGCCAATGGGGAGAACAATTTTTATTTGCTTGGGAGGGCTTTTGCGGTTATTAAAATTTCAAGCCGCCGGCATTGAAGTTACGATTAAAACGCTCATGTAAATCTCAAAGGATTCATGTAGGATGTGGCGATAGTGCGCACGTGTGGGTGGTTCTGTTTTTATCTGTAAAAATATTATGATTTATTATGTGCGGGTTCAAGTTTATTGTACGGCCATAAATTGCGTGGCTGGGCGAGAAACGGCAACAAGCGAAAGTCCTGGCAGCCAGCAGCAGTTAAGTCAATTAATTGGCTTTAGATTTATTAGTTTCTCCTCTAGTTTTGTTCCCTCACTGCAAACTTCACTCACGCCACCAGCCCGACTCCCCGACTCTCTGACTATACATGGATACATGGATCTGGGTGTACACTTATATACATATGTGTTTTGATTTATGGTGCGGTAAAGTGTTTATACGCCTCTACAAAGCAGTCGCACGCAAAGCACGCCAAGGTGACAGCAGCTCTACATAGGTGGGGATTTTGGGGGCTTAGGTCTACGGCATTTGCATATAAATAGATATGTCAGTTTAAATATGAGACACATGTTCGTCACTTTCGTGCCTGGGGCACCAACAACAAAAACAAGAAAAAACAAAAAAAGTATAATAAAAAGTAAATTCATGTTATGCATTGGCATACAATTTCCCCACTATATTAGTCTGAGCATTAAAATGTGAGGCAACAAGTGAATTATTAAGTACCTTTTTGTATCACTGAGAGCCTAAACACTAAGCCATGGATGTGCGCCAATTTAATAAGCGTGCGTCCCACTTATAGCCGAAGGTCCCCTTGTCGTCCCAAACTGAAATTTGACGCATCTCAGACAAGGGACTGCAAATATTTATTCGTAATGCCATCTAGTAGGCTGTCAAAAACAAAATTGAGATAGAGGAGCCTTTTCAAATATGTATATTAGATTTGCAGCAGAACGCTTTCGTTGTACACTTCAAGCATGGATATTTAACATTAATAATTGCGAAGAATGCTGAATACACTGAGCAAAAACACGGTGCAAATAGAACGTCGCAACGATTGTTGGAAATCAGCTTAATCAAATTTTTAATTACAGTGTTTAAAAGAAAAATGACGAAGAGGCAGCGCGCTGTTAACTACAGACTGCTAATAGATGTGCGCGACCGCTGTTAGTTAACAGAGCCGGCAGCCGCTCTCCCTAATATGTTAATTATCAGTCAGGTAACAGTCTAAGGAAGAAGTTCATCAATAAAAGTTGAAAGTTTCTTTTTTTGCTTTCCAAGTTTAATTTGTTTTCTATCTTTAATTAAAACCATGCAAATAAATTATCTGCATTGATTAATAATCTCTCGCTGTATGGATTGGCACTTCAGTTGGTTTTATCATTAAAGAAGTTGGGTCATTGATTATATGTTTATTTCAATCGTGCTTAATAGAATAACATCGTGCAACCATATATACACTTTTTCATTTTCAAACGGTGTTAAAACCGTGCTTGAATTTGAGAATAATGTAGATAACTCCTGCTCTCTTTCAATCCTTAATTCAGTGGGGACATTTGTTCGGAACAAACGCTTGCCTTAAAATCAGCAAAACGTTTCAATTTTTTAGTTAGACAATTTTATTCAGCGCATTGATGAACACAGTTCAAATATTAATTGAACGGCAAAATGGCTAACTTTATTTGCTTAACAAACAATTACAGATAGGGCACAATCCTTTGGTACACAAATGTACAATTGAGTTGTTCTTTTTTATTTAAAAAAATACCTATATAGCTTTTTTTCTTTATTTAGTTTTAAACTAAGTTGATAATTGATTTCTACTATTTTACTGTATTTTTTAATGTATTTATTTTTAGTTATTAACAAGCGTAGTGGTTGTTTTCATTCAGAACCATTAAACAGAAAAATGACAAATAGGTTAATATAGTACCTTTCCGTCATTAAAATGTATTAATATCTCAATATATTACTTTGAAATTATTCATACTATATATTACTCATATACCAGCGTTATGTGTTTACCCGTAAATGCTCTTTGCGACAACTTTAAAGACGAATGTCACGAGTCGTATCAATAATGGTGAAGCCCATCCTTTGCCATCACATCGCATACACTCCAATCCACTTCTATCATGGCCAATCACATCAGTGTTTCTTTCTATGTGTGTGTGTGTGTAGCTAAGCCTTATTGAAGTGCAAAAAGCCGCACAGTTCACTCAAGCATTCGTCGGTGTAATAACTTAAAATCCTATAATAAAGCTACTTACTGCCGCTGCTGCTGCCTGCTGCTAACAATAACTATTTTTCTTTGGCTTTTGGATTTGGCTTTGGCTTTGGTTCGAAGTCGTGGGACCGGAGGCTGGATTGTCTGCTTCATTGAGGTCGCCTTGCCAAATGCAAGTCAAGTCAAGTGCATACGTCAGCCAACGAGCACTGCCTCAAGATATAAAGCTGTGTCTCTCATCTGGGATGAGGGCAGGGACAGGAAACCTGGGCCTGGCCCGAGTGCATAACATCAATTTTTTTATTTTCTAGTTACATTTGTGTGGCTGTGAGGTGGCGGTGGAGAAAGAGATATCCTGCTGAGCGACTGGATTAAGATTGAATTTTTCTGTGGACTTCGTTTTTATTTTTTATTTTTATCTACTGTACTCTTCTTACACACACACACGCACACACACACATATATATATATACATATGCTCAGGTGAAGTCGTTGTGATATCACACAAAAGGCTGCTAAAAATATTTTCATGTTGAAATAGAAATATTTTCCCATTGAAATTGGAAACGTTTTTGCCATTGTGTGTATAAAAATGTGTGTGTGTGTGTTTGTGGGCAGATGTTGTACAGTTATTGGAATGTCTGCAAGCGCCACGACAATAGACTATTAGTTGGCATTTTTCTAGCCTTTTGTTGTTGCTGCTGCTGCGGCTTCTGTTCCCGCTACCGATATTGCTTGGCGACAGGAAATAGTAAACTTATTTCTCTTATTAGTTTCAGTTGGCAATTTGTGCTAGGCAGCAGATAAAAATAAGTAAATATGCACTTACAGTTACTTTCATATCAGATGGCCACAAGACAGATTCGAATAGTGAGCATAGATTAAGCAGGCAAGAATTTTTGTGGTAAATTGAATTTTCCAATACCCAGAAACATATCTCCCCCCATTTACTGATGGGTAAGGAAAATAGTAACCGCAGACTATAGCGAATGTGTTTTCATTTCTCATTTTGCGCTGCATAGCTCACTGTGAAAACATTTCCACAATTACTGCAACGGCCGTGAAGGGCTCTTCGAGTCGCACAAAAGTATGCTACGTTTTTCGCATGTCGCCATATTTTTAATGATTTCAATTAATTTCAATGATTAAATTAAAGCATTGTAACAACAATAGCAGCATTTACGCTGAGGCGTGACTTTTGCATCAATTTTTATTGCCATTGTTGTTGTTGTTGCTCGTCGCTTTCAGCTGGCGCTGCGCTAAATATTTTAATTAAAGAAATAATTACATTTAATGCAATTGACAACGCACGCGTAGTCTTCTTCATCCCCGATCGTAAACTGCACGGGCATGCAGTTTTACTTTTTTCCCCATTTTAATTTTGTATTTTTCGAAACTTCATTAAGCATATTTATGGCAAGAGCGACAGTCAAAATGCCATTAAATTGAAAAAATGCAATTACGGAATTTCACCAACAAATTAAAATGTGCGTCACTTGTAGGTCATCAATGAAAAGCACACCTACGTTATTTTTGTTGCTTAAATTCCTCCAATTAAGTAGCATAAAAACAAAAATAATCCTTTCTGCAAATGCTGAACAACAAAAAACAAGCAACTACATGCTTTCATTTGCAAATTGTGGCTGAGGCGATGGAAGCATTTCGTATAAAAGAACTTTGTAATATTTGCTACTAAAAGTATTTCTTCAGTGACCGTCCATCGAAGAATACGAAAATTATTTAGGGCTTTTTTCATAGTTTCACAATTTATGTAAAGTTTATTTAAGCTTAGATATACAATATTTTTCGTGCAGTAACAAAGACAAAGCTTAAAACCTGGCTGAGAAATTATTAAAAATATTTTAATAAATATTGAAATTCATGCACATTAAATGTGCACAAATAAATTCCAAGTTTACTTCGACAAATAACTTATTGTTTTATTTATTCAAGTAAATAGACTTTACTTATTTTATTTCAAAACATTTTTAAATCACTTGCAAATACGAGATATCCATGAAATTATTAAAAAAAAGGTAGGCAAAAGAAATAAAATTGCATTTGCATCACAAATTCATGTATTTATATTTGTTAAATACTCCAAATAATTTATTACTAAGAAAAGAAAGAAATAAAACAAATATTATAAGTACGAAGGAAGGCTTTAAAAATCATTGACCATTGCAACTGTTGCAAAATAAAGCACATTCTTTTAAAGAAAAAGAACTCAACTTGAAGAGCGATAATGAATGACTGTCATTTGATGAGCAACGCTTTAAAATGTGGCACATAAAGGATTTAATTTACACAGAATACTTTGCATAGTCCTTTTATTTTTTGAACAACATTTTTCTTGATGCTGCTCTGCGACCTTTTAGTGCGTGGTGTTAAGTTAACTAGCTTTTAAAATATTCGTTCAAGCGCGTTACTATATTTGTATTTTTTATCACCATATATATGCAATATCCACAAAAACATATTTTCCATATTTAATAAGCATTCATGCTATAAATCGCAAGCCAGGCGCCCTAAAAACTGTGCACGATATATTGCCGGTAAAGTCAACAAATTGCCAGCAGCGTC